AAGACAGTAAGGACTTGAACAGCCATAACTCCGAGAGAAGGGAAGCACTGTTTCAAGAATGGGAGCTGAGAGGCTAAGAAGCGAAAGGAGCTTTAAGCAATCTAAGAGGCCTGGGGAAACAAACATTGCAGTTCCAGGTTACCAAGGAAGAAGGGTCCTGTTTAACATTCTACGCTTTCAGTTAGGATCTCCGAAGGGCTATACCCTAGGAAGTAAGAGTGATCCAAAAACAAACCAGCCCCCAAAAACTAAAGCCCAAGAAGATCTGCTCCTAATCCTGTCTAGGTAAAAAAAGGAAATATTCTCTGAAAGAAAGTAACATTACTTCCACAATTTTTCATACATAATGTCTAGTGTTTGATCAGAAATAACCAGGTGTGCAAAAAAACTACAACTGACTAGAAATCAAAAGGACATGAAAAGAAGAAGAAAAAAAAAGATCCACAAGAGATCCACATATAAAAGTTATCTGACACAATTTTAAAATAACTAGGATTAATATGTTCAAAAACTTAAATGACAAGACGAAGAATTCCAGTAGAGAACTAAAAACTATTTTAAAAAATCAAATGGACCTTCTAGAAGTGAAAATAACTAAATTAAAAACTCAATGGATGAATTTAACAACAGCATAAATAATGCTAAAAAGCAAATTAGTAAAATGTAACACAGGTCAGAAGAAAATATCCACGCCAAAATATGAAGAAACAAGGATGGAAAATAAAGAAAAGGACATAAGAGACAATTCAAAAAATTAAAAAGTCTCGCAGAAGGAGAGCAAAGAGAGAATAGGTCAGAAATAATATTTGAAGAAATAATGGCCAAGAATTGTCTAAAACAAATAAGACATCCAGCCATAGACTCAAGAATCACTACAAACAGCAAGCAGAATAAAGACCAAAAACCCCACAAGTAATAACATCATGATAAAATTGTTGAAAATCAAAAACAAAAAGAAATTACTTTCAAAGAAGCCAACAAAAAGATAGTTGACTTTTCAACAGAAGTGGAGTATGGAATGGTATCTTCAAAGTGCTGAAGGAAAATAACTGCCCAAAATTCTATATTCAGAAGAAACATTCTTCAAAAATGATGGCAAAAATGAAAATTTTTTTTACACAAATGCCAGAAGAGTATGTCACAGCAGACCCACACTAATAGAAATATTAAAAGGAGCTCGTCAGGTAGAAAGAAAAACTATCCCAAATGGAAGCACAAAAGTACATGAAAGGAGGAAGAGCACCAGAAAGGGTAAATATGTGAGTAATCTAATGAATATTATTTCTATAAAATAATGTCTTGTTGCTGCTGCTGCTGTTGTGTAACATCGAGTCACTTTTGACTCATAGCGACTGTCATGGATTGAATTGTGTCCCCCCCAAAAATGTGTGTAGCACCTTGGCTAGGTCATGATTCCCAGTACTGTATGATCGTGTTATCTGATGTGATTTCCTCATGTGTTGTAAATTCTATCACTGTGATGAGGTTATACTGATGAGGTTGACAAGATTAGTGTCTTAATGCAATCTCTTTTGACTATAAAAGAGAGAGGCGAGCAGAGATACATGAGAACCTCATACCACCAAGAAAGCAGTGCTGGGAGCAAAGCGTGTCCTTTGGACTTGAGGTTCCTGCGCAGAGAAGCTCCCAGATCAAAGAAAGACTGATGACTTGGACTTTCCTCCAGAGCCGACAGAGTGAGAAAGCCTTCTCCTGGAGCTGATGCCCTGATTTTGGACTTGTAGCCTACTGGACTGTTAGAGAATAAACTTCTCTTTGCTAAATCCATCCACTCGTGGTATCTCTGTTAAAGCAGCACCAGATGACTGAGACAGCGACCCTAAAGGACAAAGCAGAACTGCCCCATAGGGTTTCCAAGGAGCAGCTTGTGGATTCGAACTGCTGACCTTTTGGTTAGCAGCCTAAGCTCTTAACCACCTCATGACCAGGGCTCCAATAACATCTTAAAAGGTTTACAATATACATTAGAATTCAAATACACAATACCAAAGAAGGCAGGAAGACATAAACGAAATTCTAGGGTTCTGAGAGTATTGCATTGTCTAAAAAGTGGTAAAAGTACTAATATTTATCAAACTTCAACAAGTCAAAGATGCATATTGAAATCTCAGATAATTACTAAAAGAATAGTCAGGAAATATATAACTAACAAGCAATGGGTTCAAAGGACAGAAAAATAAAAACTAATGAATTAAACATAAAGAAGACAATAAAGAAAGATAAAAAGGAACAGTAAGTATACAGTAATTTATACAGTAAGTATAAATTATATCCGTACACTAAATGTACACGGACTAATTCTCCAATAAGGCAAAAGCTGATCACTGGGTAAATAAAAACAATAATATGATGCTTATAAGAGACGTACCTTAAGGAAAAAAAGGTTGAAAGTAAAAAAATAGAAAAAGATATTCCACACAAACATTATCCAAAAGAAGGGTCATTTAACCATACTAATATCAGGTAATTCAAAATGATAAACATTAAGACACTGTACAGATAAAACCATCTTTCACACATATTTACATGTAGCAAATATCTCACAGTATATAAACCAAAATGTGACAGAACTACAGAAGAAACAGGTAAATCCACACTCATAGTGGGGAATTTTTATACTCCTTGTCTTAGTCATCTAGTGCATACAAAAGTGTGTGGCTTTAACAAAGAGAAATTTATTTTCCCACAGTGTAGGAGGCTAGAAGTCCAAGCTCCAGGCGAAGGCTTTTTCTCCCTGTCGGCTCTGGGGGTAAGTCCTTGCTATCAATCTTCCCTGGTCAAGAAGCTTCTCAGCACAAGGATCTCGGGTCCAAAAGACACGCTATTCTCCTGGCTCTTGTTTCTTAGTGGTATGAGGTTCCAATGTCTCTCTACTCACTTCTCTGTTTTATATCTCAAAAGAGATTGACTTAAAACGCAACCTAATCTTGTAGATTGCGTTCTGCCTCATTAACATAACTGCCACTAATCCCACCTCACTAACATTATAGAAGTAGGATTTACAACACATAAGAAAATCACATCAGATGACAGAATGATGAACAATCACACAATACTGGGAATCATGGACTAGCCAAGCTGGCACACATTTTTTGGGGGGACACAACTCAATCTATAATGTTCTACCCTGTGGCTCCCAAAAATTCATGTCTTTACCACATGTAAAACACATTCACCCAATCATATCATAGTAAAAGTCTTAAATCAATTCCAAGTCCAAATCTCATCTTCTGCAAAATTCCGCTTCATCTGTGAAATCTAGAATACAAGTTATCTGCTTCCAAAGTACAATGGTGGAACAGGCACAAGGTAGACATTTCCATTACAAATGGGAGAAAATGAAAGGAAAGAAGGGGTAACAGTCACCAAGCAATCAGCAGAACACATTATACTAGCTCTCAAGGCTTGAAAATAATCTGCTGTTCTTTGAGACCATTCAGGAAATGGCCCTGCCCTCTAGACTCTGGGTGCTGGCCTTCCCCTAGAGCCAACAGAGAAAGAAAGAGAGCCTTCCCCTGAAACTGGCACCCTGAATTCGGACTTCTAGCCTCTTAGACTGTGAGAGAATAAATTTCTCTTTGTTAAAGCCATCCACTTGTTGTATTTCTCTTATAGCAGCACTAGATAACTAACACACTCCTCTTAGTACTTGACAAAATAAAACAGAAAAAAGTAGGTTTAGGATTTTATTTTAAATATCGTATTTACTTTCCCTAAAGAAACACATCCATCTTAGCTGTTTTTCTTTTAATGTTGCTGGAGTTCATTTGCAACTATAGGGATTTGATGGTAATTCTAATATAAAATAGATGTTACTCTTAAGACCCTATCAACTGGTCCAAAAGAAAAAAAGAAAAACCATCAAAAAGCCTGCAAAATTTATCCCATTTTGCAAAATAGTAATAACTCTTTGTTTTAAACTCTTTTACATGATCAAATACCATATCGTAATTCAAAAACACATTAATGTTATTCTAATACAGTTGAATTCCCTCACAAAAATGTCATAAGGCAGGGTAATCATCTATATTTTATGCTACGCTATTTATTAGACTTTCTTTAGAAAGTGATTCTTATTCTTCTTGGTATGTGATTCAGTAATCTGAGACATCTAAATCCAGGATAGAATGAGTTAGACTAAAAATTTTTTTATTATTTCTATGTTTCAAAGTAGTTTACACTTTTCAGTGGCCTTATTCACAACTAACAACAAACAAGATAGTCTTGACGTTTAAAATGTATCAATACACTGCTAAAACAAAGTTTTTCAAATCAGGGGGCTTAAAAAGAAAGTCCAAAATAACTGTGTTACACGTTATTTAAAAACAATCAAGGCATTGTCTTCCTTGCCTGTGAACCACTGCCTACTAATAAATCAGCTGTAGTGTTTACAGTTCAACTATGATATACCATACACCTTAATTTTGAATTTCATTAACACTTAATTATCCCCACACTTCCCTAAATTTACCCTTTGGCCTATACCATATACTTGTATATGTACAAGTACAAGCAATACTTTTCCTCTTAACACTTTCCCTATACCCCCAAGAAAAGGAGATAACTCCTAATATTTTTTGTTAGGCCTTTTATTCCTAGATGAATGGGGCTTGGATAGAGAAGAACCGAGAGTCTTCTCAATTCAACTTTATAGAAAGTATGAAAACATCCGAGGGATGTACACTCTCACTAGATATTTTGTTGGAATCTTATCATAACTTTGTAAATAAATAGTAAATTCTCAATCTAATATCTAAGAGCTCTTTGGTTTATCTAAGAAACAAAAACAGGATGAATTTACATAACTGTAATTTTTCTCTTAGAAAAGACAGACTAATGGCTATCTAGAATCTTTAGAAATAGCCAGAATAAAACAACCTCACAAACCTAGCTAAAGAAACATAACCAACATTCCATTTTCACAAATCTCAATAAACATAGAAGGAAAATGTGAATATTATAATATTTTTGAACATTACCAGTTTTAACCGTTCTTTTCTCCTTTTGCCAAAAGAAGCACTTGACCCAGGTTCTGATTCCTTTTTTCCATCTTCATCCTCATCTTCATCCTCATCATCCTCAAAACACCAATCTGGCAATAGAGGTGGGGGTGGTGCTTCTTCTATATCACCATAGCGGCGAAAAAGTTCTTTCAAATAATCACCCTTATAGATTCCTGGTGGTCTGGCTTGGGCAAAAGTAGCAACCGCTGCTTCAATACTATGGGAAATAAATAAACACCACATAATTTCTTCACTACTCTCCAATTATGCAGACTAATCAAAACTCACTTATTATATTTAAGTACCATATGAAGTATAATACAGGCTTATAAAATGGACAGACCACAGTGCCAATTTCAAGGCACTCTAATCTATTAAGGGACAAATTCATTATAAAGCAGTTTCAATATAAGGCAGATAGATAATTCCTAAATTCTAGAGGTACATTTAGGAAGACCCTCAACGAGATGGACTGACACAGTGGCTGCAACAATAGGCTCAAACATACTATTGTGAGGATGGCACAGGATTGGGCAGTGTTTCGTTCTGTTGTACATAAGGTTGCTATGAGTCAGAACCAACTCAACACCACCTAACAGCAACAACAGAGGTAAATTGCTACCAATGTATAAAGAGACAAAGAGACTTGAGTAGGGTCTGTGAAAAAGGAAGAATTTGAATAAAGCCTTGAAGGCTGAGGTCTGATTTAAGGGAAAACAGCAGTCAAGGCAATGTGAATAGCATGGTGAACAGAGTAAAAGCCTGCTGGTTTTCAAGGACTCTTCAACTGATGCATGCAAAAAGAGAAAGAGACGCTAAGCATTGGTTGAATCTGGCACAGGAGGCCAAGGTCATGGTGTAGAGCACCTGAATGGCCAGACTTGCAAATACATGTAGTAGAGAATCACTGAGGATGTGTGAGTAGGAAATATACAATCAGTATGTGCACTTCAGCTGACTGTATTCAGAGAAGGGCCTGCGTAAAAGGCTTTGTAAACATACACAATGATCCATCTCTCAATCGATGAGAAAATTCAGTTAACAAATCAATATTCCACTCTCTTAGGAATTTCAGGTAACTAAGGTTCAAATCTCTCAGGACTTAAAAAGCTACTTCACAAATACAGGTGCTCAATAAAATCATGCTGATTGGTTTAAATAAGGTAACCTGTCCTTAAAATACTCCTATAGCATTATAAGCTTTTCCTGGTACTCAACTGCTATTTAAAAAAAAAAAAAAAAAAATCTATTATTA